CCGCACTCTGTCCTGCTCTCAGGCCTCCTGGGTCCCCGCCTGCTTTAGCACCTTCTGTTTCCAGGCATGTGCCCACTTCTGGCTGGCGACCACCCCGGCAGCAGAGAGGGCTAGACCTGGGTGCTCTGCACCTTGCGTGGATATCAGTGAGAGGACTGTATCTGCACCCAGATTACCACTCAATTTTTGGAGCTGGTCCCCACAAAACTTGGGAAAGAAAAGTTGTTTAAGATCCCCAAACCCCAACCCAATCATGTTTGGGCAGAAGCTCAGGAATCGCCTTTATCTGAAGGGCCAGGTCGGAATTGACTATCATCTTGCCTGGTTCTATTGAAAATTAAGGTGTACATCCAGCAGGGCTCAAAACTTGTATTCCTTAATAATAGATTTTATTGTATCAATAAATTATGGATCCAGTGCTCCACGAGAAGATTTTTATTAGGTCAATGGGAAAGGGTGCAGGTAAAACAATGTGGGATACAATTTGTAAGATGTAAGGGTGCAGTGCTTGTTAAAATGTGTACTATAAATACCAAAAAGGAAAGAAAAGAAATAAGCACTGCTTCTTCTTTAGTAGCTCATACTCTGGCATCTTCTGCAAAGCAAAGGAAGCAGGCAATTGAATTGTACTTGGGCAAATGGTTCTTTTGTGAGGCATGAAGTAAAAGCTCCAATAAAGTATCTAAATAGAAAGGAAAATTTCTTGTATTTTTCACTGCCAGCAGCACAATCACTCATGTCTGGTTAGATTCCAATGGAAATTGCTGCTATCACCCATGCCCTCCCTGAGCATGGAGGCAGCACACATGCTCACAGGTAGCATGAAAGTGGTCTGTGAAGAAACTAGAGGATACTTTCATGAACCAAGAAGTACAGGCTGAATCAAAGAAGATGCAGTATCAGGTTTAACGCTTGCCTACAGGAGGAAGCTCACTCAAAATGGGACAATAATAAGAAATTTTGGGACAGAGTCCATTAGCTCTTGTGATTTGGCATTGTGATATAAAGATCCATGGGCTGAAGAACTCTTTAAAGGTTTAATTTTATGAGAGAGAGAGAGAGAGAAAGAGAGAGAGAGAGAGAGACAGAGAATGAATCCAGAAATGCAGAGAAAAGTGTCACCTCAACAAAATTTTAAAAGCTTATCTCCAGTCAAGATTTGGGGCTGTAAGGACCAGGGATTTAGCTCAGTGGTTCTGGCACCAGCCTCGAAAGTGCAAGGGCCCGAGTTTGATCCCTGGTACAAAAAAAAAAAAAAAAAAAAAAAAATTTGGGG